CAAATATTCACGATTCCCACAAATCCAACTGTTAAGCTTAATTAGTCATGTTGATCGTTCATCGGATCTGAAGACATTTTTTAGTTGTTTGCGTTTCAGCAACTTTCAGAATCGTGGCAGCCAACATTTGTTCAATTCGTTTTATTAATAACTGTGAAAGTGACGTGGCCAAATTTCGTGACTTTATTGATTTTAAGCTCCACCGCACAACGAAAGTCATAATATGCCTTTTTTTTAAAAAAAATGTTATCTCCTTGGTTTCATTGGCTAATCCCTCACGTCATCCAGAACGCAGGTTATATAACAACTCTCTCAGATCATAGTGTAGTACAGAAAAATAAAACGAAATTTTGAACTATAAAAAACAAAACGAAATAGGATCTGTGTTTTAATCAGATTGATTGAAACTAGTACTAGTTTCATATAGACTCTTAAATGTAATACTAATACGCGAAAGAATTGGTAAGGTGCTGCAGTCTTCAACGTTTTTGGACATTAACATTTCAGAATTGTCGACGTTTGTGTCCGAGGCAAATTATATTGTTAAACAGCGCTGTAATATGGTGTGTCCCTTTAAAAACAATAATAATGAGGGGTTTTTTCTTTATTAAGCCATATAATAGTCTTATAGTCATATTACACTGGTCAGTTCTTTGTTGAGTTATTTTGAACTTTCGTGGGTTTATATGAATATAACCTCACCGATCATGCGGATAGATTGACGCTTGTTTCAGTGTTAATCCCTGAATAGCTCACCAGGTGTATAGGACGTTGAAATGAATTGAGGGAGAATTAATCCCGGTTAACACAATTCATTGCTACTTTAATATGAACAATAGACATATTTTATGTCAACTACCAATGTGCACAAAGGGACCTTGGATTATTTACCTTCCGAAAGACAAGACTAACTTGCCTTAACCTGGTGAAGTAGCGGAATAGTCATTTCATCTGAGTAGTATCGGAATAGGCACTACTGTCTTCTGCAAATGAACAGGTGTAAAGATGAATAAACTTTATTTAAGATAAGCCACAAGCGCAATTTATGGCTGCCAGGAATTAAGTATTTTTTGTATTTTACGATCTCGTTTTCGTAAGAAATAAAAAGTTGTTAAAAATTGTTTATTATGTATTTTTAATTGTCAATCTTAAAGTTGGAAAAATATTAACTATTTCAGTTAAGTCTGAATTGTTTGGTTTCTGAGTAGCACCAAAAATGACTTTCATTGCATTAACAGAAAATGTAAAAATATTTAAATGACCAGAAAGGCATGATGTTTGTAATGGTATGTAAATTGGCTATAGTAAAATACATTATCTTCCAGTCGCTTATTGATCGAAAGATCGTTAACCAATCATTGACGGTTTTATACGTCATTAGATGGAGTACGGCTGGGTAATGAATATGGTAATTCCCCTTTGACTGCCCAACTAATCGGAAATCGAAAGATCATAACCTTTGTTTTACCTTCGGTTGATGTGAGACATTAAGAGATAAAAATTTCCAATAAAACCTCCAATTTCTCTAATAATCTGATTTGTATGTTTGTGCTATCATCTCGCGCTGTTTTGATAATGGAGTGGATAGCTACTCTGGCAAGACGTCGAGATAGAAAATGTAATAAATGTTCACTCTCGTCAACAAAACACATTCCAAATCTCACTAGTATTTAAAGGCATGCATTTAAAGGACCAGTGTCCGTTTTCCTAGTGTTGGTTTAACTATGAAATTTAAAAGCAAGAATGTAAAGAAATACCCCAAATATCTTGTCTGACAGTTTCTGTTCAAAATATCGAGTCGCTCAGAAATGATGGCAAGCTTGGATCAACGGTTTTGACAGACTCTATGTAGAAATTCCATTTTTCGGTTGTATTAATAACTTGATATTCGCTATGATCATTTTTACTATAAACCAGTCTAGAATACAGACACTGTCACCATATGACCGTGGTCGAAGCGGGCGCTACATAAATCTATTTTACACTGGCACGGGAATAACCACTTTGGAAAATTGCGGTCAACAATAATATTGAAACTGGAAGTTCGTATTTCGTGAAAAAAAGGGTACTACAAAGATTCAGATGGTTGTAAATGACCAGGAATTTACCAGGTTTATTCCTTAAAGCTTATCAGGGAACCTTTAAAAGTATAATTTTCACCATATTACCTTTGTAACGTCTCCACAAAAATTTGAATTTTCATAGAACCTTCCATCTGTATTGAACTAGTTTGAATGTCATAACTATACTGGATGGAGGGTTGATTCAGTAGGTGAGGGCTATGAGTGACCCCGGGGTTCGGTCCATCCAACCCCACTAAAAACTCCTCATGTTAAAAATAGTAACTTAGAGAAATATTTAGTATTAAAATATGTTATTTAGGAGGGCAAAAAGTAACACGTTCTGTGAGATTGTAGGGGCATATCCAGGCGGCTAACGTCGAGTGAAAACAATTTCGTTGCTCTTGCCCACCCGGCAGCCTTTAGTAGTGACCTTAACTGAATGATGCAACTCACCAAGAATAAACGATCATGGATCCGCGTTCGACATGACTTTACGTAAATTGCAATCAAGACAATATATTTACACCCAGTAAAATTCTTGTAAATAAATAAAAAACATAAGTAAGAGAGAAGAATCAAATTGTTGTTATTTTTGTTGTTGTAAGTCAACTATTCAGGTAAACAAGAGTCAACATTCAACAATATTCCCATAGTTCACTTTAGTAAACAAAAAACAACAAAAATGTATTTTCTTCTCTATATACGAGTTTATGTAAATACGAAAATATAAGTGGCACATTTCTGAAATAATATAATACAAACTATCCACACAAACTTGTGCAGCAGACAATTACTCTCCTATTAACCCATTAAACTTCATTGTGTACTGTTTATATTACTTCCCTATACTTAGCTATATGAGACAATGACGGATGTCGTACATTGGGTATAGTATGGTTGCTGTTACCAGAATATCTGATGAGATCTGACGCAAACGTATTTTCTGAATTATTTTTGGACGTTGATTTGCCTAGTGGTATTAACTTGAAATCTTGTGCGAACGATTTAAAATACATATTTTCTTGCCATTTTCGATGGGTCTGGGGCAGGTATTTATTATGTTAAACTATAGGCATGACCCCATATAACTATGACACGTATAATAAATCCCAAATTGCATCATTTAAAACACGTATTCGAGGTTTTGTTGAAATGCACTGGATTATTCAACGCCCTGGATGTGTCTTGATGTTTTATTATCTGACATCAGACTGTTCTTTATCGACTTGTGCAAATATATAATTTTACTATCGTGTACTCAACAATCCGATCCATTATGGTGGCTGTATTTAATTATGTTTTCCCTGTTTTGTATTCTACAAGTGTTAAGTAACCGATAAATCAAAATTTATATCTAAGTGATGTCATGACATGCACAAAAATGTTGGAGCTTCTCGAGGCCTAAAAAATCAGTAGAAATCTAGAAGTTGTCTTTTATGTCTACATTTATATGACAAATTACAATCTACATCTATATTATGAGTAATTATAATCTTCATCTATATGTCACATTACAGTATATCTGTACATCTATATGAAATATAACAGTCTAAATTTATATGAAAAATTACAATCTATATGAATAATTACAATCTACATCTATATAACAAATAGCTTCCTCCGTGTAATTCTACTCTCACACAATGGGTAATATGGTGCCGAATGAGCTTGCGAATTGATCACCAGACATTTGTAGGTGTTCGTGGGCATTCGCGGTCGTTCGTGGGGTTTTGTGAATATTTGGAACATGCTTCTAAAATTCACCAAGAAATCATATTCGCATTTCTTTCGAAAGCAATCACAAGACATTCACTACAAATGCCTTATCATCAATAAGAATAACATGCGACTGATTATGAAAATGATTTCCTGGCGAATTTTAAGAGCATGTTTCAAACACCCTATGATCGACCGCGATGGCTCAGGTGGCTCAACAACTTGGGCCTGATCTGGCTGGTCATCTGTGGAGCTGGGGCTTGGGGATCTTCGGTAGTACTAGTTAAAGTTAGTACTAATTTGAACGAGGGAGGACTAGTTACAAACGGGTTATACCACTTGAAAATGGTGTTGAATTATCAGAGACGGTTTTTAAAGGAACAGCTGGCGAATAAGTGACAAAGCGAAACATTCGCAATGATCACAAGGTGATCGCCAGACATTCGGATTGCGGATATTAGGAACATGCTCCTAAAATTCGCCAGGAAAGAATCTTCTCATTGCTTTCATAACATTTTCTTAGGCTATCACAAGCCATTCTTATTGATGGCAAGACATTGGTAGTGATCGTAAGTCAACGAACTTACAACTCGGTTGGCAAGGGCATGGGTAACCCGACGAAGAATTTAAATACGTGACTCGATTTGATGAGGTTTCTTTCTAGGACTAGATAAAGCAAACTCAACCAGTTTCAATGGGAAAGTATCATAAACTCTGACCTGTAGATCATAATTATGTATAGACATACCGGAATGAATTATAGTTGAACCTCCCGCCAGCACAATACTCCCGATAAAAAAACATATTGTAATTTGTATTACAATGCCTACCATTTCCATCTTCTTTTACGTGCACGCCAATGCATACTCGGGTAGACATCAGTTTATCTTCCCATCCGAACGACTAGGTTCGCCTTCCTTGTCAGTCTCGCAGGCTCGCCGATACAGAGGGACCGACGAATGTCATTTAGATAAAACTGTCTGAAACCATATACTAGTAGTATATATCGACAATATATTGTATGTTATTCAGTTCTGGACATAACAGTGGATTTGTGAAGAGAGTAATTTTGTGTTTGAATCTTATTTGACCGAAAAAAAATTTCTTGCACCTTCTAAGAAGTTCTGGTTCGAATTGGTAATATTTCGACAACGAATCTCACTGGCAAATAGTTTTATTTTTGTGATAGCTTAGGCTCTAAAATTACAGTCTTTTACTTACGGTGTACGTGCAATATCCCACGACTGCTAATATTTCTTTTACAAAACCAAGCTGTTCTTTAGCCAGATAGGGTTCTCAACAAAATCTGTAAATTAGTGAAAACCACGTGAACACATGGGTTATTTTCAACATTTAATTTCATTAGCAGTGCATTCTCCTGCTAATTCATATATTGATGTTGCACAGAAAGCTTGTCGAGATGCACAGATGTATGATCGGTATACCGTGTAAAAATATGATACCCGACACCCTAATCTAAATCCTCTCTGACAGCTCATACAGCCATGAAACATTAGCACCAGTGAAAACTATATTCTAACACCCCAAATTAGATTCTTCAGGTGAAATCAGTTCAGAAAATTATCTCTACAAAGACTTTAAGACACTCGGGAGAAAACATGATTTCCACATTTTGTTTTTTGCTTTATTCTTTCAATTTACTTTTGACAAACTGCTTTTGTAAACTTTAAAATAAACTCTATAGATAATATCAGTTAATAACATTCGTACCTGTTTATATTGTATACCCGAAAAGTTAATATCACTCTCGCCAAGACATTTAATGTAGTTCATTTTGAATAAAAACATCATATTACAAAACTCATCTCATTATGGATAAGCTGGGCACAGACTATTTTCACGATCGTTAAAACCTCTAATATATTTGTGTGACTTTAAAGACCCCCCACCCTCAAATTATTCGGTTGATAGTACAGAAAACCACATAAATACCGTCCTGTTGTTCTCATTCTTATATTAAAATATTTTAATTCGTATTGTTACATGTGCAATACGGGAGGGGGGCTGTCAATGCGTACACGGGTGTATCTTTAACTAATTATTAGATTCGCACTTTGCAGAGAAGTCATATCTCACGCACTCAAATGAATGAGTAAGTTGTTGACACATAAAAAGAACCAAAACATAGCTGATTCTGGTGAAAAATTCCTATTGCATCATTTGGCTCTGTAACCAATAATTATAATTAATTACATCATATGTGGCCAATTAGATAATTGAAAGCCGAAACCTAAGGGTAGGAAACCACCAGAGCTCTTGGCGTTCGTTAGACAGTCGCTAAATTCGGGAGAGACCGCCGAGGTTCAAGAGGCACCAGCTGGGATGCGTAGACCCCGATCTACACATTAGGAGGGGTGTGGGGGTGTGGAGAGAAGGTATTGTTAATTTAAAGTATTGTAATGTAATCTATACATGTAACCTATGTATCCAGGCTTGATATAAAATGTAGAATTGAACTGATGCATTGTTATTCCTGGTAAGACGAACGTCTTAGCGACGGAGATTAAGACGAATATACACAACGTTATTCCTAGCCAAAAGAAGAGAATTACAAATATAACCAGTGACAATACTAGACGATCTCAAGACTATTAAAATATGTAAAAGAAGAGAGTATGCGTCACACGTTGGATATGGGGAGTTTTCGGCTTACTGGCTTTCCACGTCTAGCCAGCGACTATGGTACTACATATTTTCGTTCCACGGGAACAACTATGCGAGGTTTTTTTCCAAACTCGTACATGTGAATTAAAGAGCTAAAAGGCAAGCAGTATCAAGAGTACGTTTCTGAAACTTTTAAGCGTACACGGCACATTCTATTGATTGCACTTAGCTGACCATGAAAATTGGTGCACCACGGTCTATTAAATAGCAATGATAAGATGTGTGACTAGAAGATTACCCTACCTGGTCAGTTCGGTACCCACTTTGGGCCAAGCTGGTGGCCCTTACTGAAGTAGTATAGTTGATTTTCTTAAGTATTTAGAACTCTGAAAAAAAAATTACGGACAATGGGTCATTTTTGAATACAGTAAATTCATTCTTTGGATTTGCTCAGCAATGTCCATTGCTATGCGTTTGCTTAGATGAAAAAAAGAACAAAAACAAGATGGGATCATTTTGAGGAACAATATTTATGTCAATTCTTTTTTCCTCCACATCTAAACGAGCAGATATTGTTTCTTGTCGGTTAAATTACACCACCTCACTTCCTGTTTCACTCTAATATGGAACTATGCGTTATGGTTTTACACTAAAAACAATACACGATCCATCAATGTTCACATTTTACATTACATGGTGACGCGTATTGAGCGTGAAGCAGTCTGTACTTAGCCTTTTTGGAACACCTGGTATCACTTTGCATTGTGGGATCAGTATCGAGTTCGTCTATTGGACTTTGCGTGAGCGAGACATTTTAGAACACCCGAGAACAATTCTCATTTGAAGAAGATTTCTAACAAATAGTGTTGTATTTTTGTATCTAATTCATTCTACTGGTTGCCCTTGTTCTCTAGCTTCGACTTCTCAAATCCTGGCCTAAACCTGCGGCCGTCCAGTTAAAAGGATAGTGACGAGTGTCATGTACTATGCAAGTAATGTGTACTCATTCTATACAACATCTCATATACAACATTGCTAACAAATTTTTGTAACGATCTTACACGACACTATCTACAGATCACTAGCAATAGTCACCAATCCAGAGAGCGATGAAGTGACTAACCGTAAAGGACAGCTTGCTATTACCATTTTAACAACATTTTATTATACATGTTGTTGTTTTTTATCAACGTTTGGCTTGATTATTCCTTATATAGAAGATTAGTGGTGATTTCTTAATATCTAATAGATATGTCTTGGGATTCAATGTTATTTATTGCATCTTTTCAGATTGTGTGTACCTTTTAAAGGATTGCAAATGTGGATAGTTTATGTATTGGAAACTATGTTAACATGCAACACTGTTAAGCATCCACAGGCACAACAGACCAGGAATTTAACCTAAAGATAACTAGATAACTTTACTCTCTGTAAATATGTAAACATAACAAATACACATTTAACAAAACACAGTACTTAAATGATAACTAACATATGGCTCAATTTTATTTCAATATTCCGCTTGCGCATAGGAATTTTTAGAAGTGGGAGAAATCGGAAGACAGGGAGAAAATCCGAGTTGGACTGTCGAGTCTACTTAAAGATGTTAGCATCCGCTTTAAAATGGAATTGAATAGGGTTTAATGTTTAAAGAGATTAACATTTCTATGTTTATTGCAAGAAGGGGAATTTCGCCGGGTATTTTCTATTATGCTAGATTCCCACTATCACGATTTGTACTCCTATTGAAATCGTGGTTTTAATCGTATCGAAATGTATCCAAACGTATCAGCATGTAGCAGATCGTAGACTCATTCCGATAGGGACATTTCTATCGTAGCACATCGCACGACAGTGAGAACCTAGCATTATCCTTATTTACCTAACATATCTTTTACGTACATGCATACATGAATTACGCGCAAGCGAATTATGTAAATAAAATTAAACCATATGTTAGTCCCGAAATGACCTAGTTTGTGTCGAGTGGACGTTAAACCCCATTTCTCTCTCTCTCCCTCTCGCATACATGAATCGTTTAAGAAACGTTAAACACGGTGACAATCTAGCGGCACAGTGATGTGGTTGTGTGAAGATTGCGGCTATTATTTTGACGTGTTATAGATAGAAATGATATACAGGATAAATAAATATCAATCCTAAATCACAATCAACGTATTTAAGTCCATAAATGAAAATAAAACAAAAACAAGTACGAGCTATTTTGGAACTGTGCTGTTATATCCAAAAGCGTTGTCAATCTATGCATAATCGTCCATTGCTGTAGCATATTGACTTTCCCACTGACTATTTTTATTTTATTTTTCAAGGACAGAAGTATTTCCATTGATGTTAATAATAAATAAAAAGAAAAAAAACTAACAGTGAATCAATTTCTTCGCAAGACCAAACATACTTAATTGGTGTATTCCTTGTTTTGTTGGTGTTTTATATAATTTTCACGACACAATATTGGTTATGAATTATTAGTAAGAAAACTTCACGCAAGAATCGTTGTGAATTAATATTCTTGGTTCGCATGACTTATTTTATGAATATTTAGTAAACTGATATATACAGTATATCAAAAAATACGATAAATCATACTATACATCTTTTATTCACCCTAGGTTTTTATGTTTTTCTGTAAAATTATTTATGATTTTTCGCCTCATAAAGCAAGGAAATGTATCAGTGATTTTGCATAAGATGAAATATGATGATGTGGTATTCTTTTGTAGGTAAACCCCACATTTACTTTTAAAGATGATGTTAGGACAGGGTTTTGGGGTTTTTTTTTTAAAAAAACAAAAAACATTGTTCATGAGGATATGCGGCTCTAAATATTTCATATATCGCCCAGATGTTATTAGGTGATTGGAATGGAATGTCACTTAATCATCGTTTTTGTTAGTTATAGAATGCCATAATTTCACAATAACTATGCCAGTTGTGCAAGAAGGGTGGGGCGATCAACAGGGGTCCCGTGTAACTTTGGCATGCATTGTAGGCCTATGACCTATGCCCGTCTTCATTATCCGGTAGGCGGAGAAAAGTAGGACGTTAAACCCCATTTCATTCATTCGTTCACAATAATTTTAAAAAATGCGATCATTTGCCAAAGGTTCGGTTATCTTGGTGGCTTTGCTTAAAAGTCATGTTCTTTCCAAAATGTGCTCCAAATGGCCTCCGAGGCGTTAGAGGCAAACTTGCATACGTCGCGCAAAATTGTCAACTACTCTTCAAATAAGAACTATATATTATGAAGATACCTGAACTTTGAATTGGATTTCGCAAGTGAAAAATTTGCGTGATAACATGTGGCCTAAGGCTAGGGCCATCCAGGAGTTTGCCAGGTTCCTGTTAAGGAAATTTGACAGTTGATAATGCATGATGCCATTCATCGTCCCCAAATTACGTAGGCATACATATACACTGAGTTTTATAAAGAGAGAAATCCAACACCCCGCTTAACTTCAGTTTGATTTAGGAATTAATAGGATCACATTGTGATTCAATTTTATTGATGTACCCCCGCTCCTGCAAGAGCAGAGTCACCAGAGTTTAAATATTAGTAATATTTTACATGATTAGAACTTTCTGACGTTGAACAGTAATATAGTATTTATTCTTGTTTCCTATATACGTCAGGTGTGCATGTTTACTATACTGTTGCGAACTGGGGGGGTTGGATGGCTGAATGGTTAGCGTGCGCGCGCTGTATCATAAAGTCTGTCATTGAGTCGACTGGCGTGGTTTCGAATCCCCGGTTGTACGTGACAAGGAGTAGGGTCGCCTGTCCAACCTCGTGGGTTTTCTCCGGGTCCTCCGGTTTCCTCCCACTGCTAAAGACCCCTACGCGCAAGCGAATTATTGAAATAAAAATTAAACCATATGTTAGTCCCGAAATGACCTAGTTTGTGTCGAGTGGACGTTAAATCCCATTTCTCTCTCTCTCTCTGTTGCGAACTCTACTCAGCGGTTTAACGACATGACTTTATCAGCCACAGCAGAAAGCAGCTTACCATACGATAAAAGCATAAAAACATGGAAGAGAAGAATGAATCAATCATGTGATTATGAACCTGTCTTTCTTTAGGGAACTGTCTACCTTTAGAGGCCGTATTTAGCTTTTCAAGAATTAGGCTTGCTTTCCAAAACAAAACCCTTATAACAATTCAGGCTAGCAGTGCCCTCACCAAATACTGATTACATATAACGGGTATGTTTATTAAATTTTTGTGGGGTGTTTGCGTTTCAGTTCGATACTCTTCACCGAGCAAAGGGAACAAGATTCTTATCTTTTATAAAAATTTCAGCCAAATACATCTTTTCTTTTCTTTATGATAATACAAATGTATATAAAGAAGCAACGATTATATAAGATAATAGACATTTTAAAAGATGCCTTGAATTTGAATAGGTGTATATAGGTATGAAAGAATACGAAACTATCGAGTGTTGTCTTTTCTGTAAAAGAATTGACAACGTCGGCTGATCGACATAAAGATTCAGCTATATTTATTGGACCGAATAAAGAGATTTAGAATATTTTGTATGGATGAATTGATGTCGTCCATGATAACCCATGGGTATTCATAAAATATGTATAGTTGAAATCAAAGACTGCATCAGCGATCCCTTTGATAACAACATAGCTGCGCATTTTGAATTTTAAATAATTGGATAAATTGCGTGAATTTGAATGCATGAATTCGAATAATTACGTCTAATATACGTTCGAATCAGAAAGAAATAAAGAAAAAGTTTAAATAACTTCTATTCAAACTTCAGAGCTCTAGAACAACAATTTTTTAAAATTATATATACATATAGCTGACAAATTTAGTTGAACCTTTGTATTGTTATCTTTCTATAGTATCACAGTCATAAATCGCACTATAATGCAATGTTTGGGAAATATTTCCGTTTTTCCGTGGATTGTTTCCCTTGTTGTCAGTCTGTTTTCATTGTGAGTGAAGCCTGTATCACTCCAGATCTGGGACTGTACTGCGCTCTAGACGCCTACGACTGGCCCCCGGGTTCATTCACGTGATCTGATATATACATTATGTTTGTTGCTTGCAATATCTATGTATTTGCGCCACTTGTCTGCTGATTGTCTTATTTGTTTTGTTTCTTATTATCCAGTCCTACCTTCTGTCCTTTCACGAAACGTACGTAAAGTTATCTAAACTTAATTTAAACATACATTATGCCAGAGCTGAACCTGTCTCGGTTCATAGTGGATCAATTTGAATGAAATTTTCAGCAAATTACCTTTACATTATCTAGTTTTTAACTATTATAGTGAGAACTGCCAACTCGTTACCGAATCTCCCATAATGTATCTTTAAGGAGTGTTAATCTATAGGATTCCATGTGT